ATATGACTAAAAAATCATCTCTGATTAAGGATGATCATATTATTTTTATCATCTTTGTGAAGATTTGCCAAACAAATATTAAGATCATAACACTTTTAATACTAATAATAATCCTTTAAAAGTATCATTGGATTTTGATTCATACATAAAGCAGTATAAATACTGCTTTGTTGGTAGGTGTAAGTCTTTTTTCAAAGAGGTTTGAATTCAGTTAGACAGGAAGGGTATAAAATGGTGTCTCAGTGTTGCTTTAAAATCCTGATAAAATTCCACCAACTACACCACTTTCTTCCAGTCAATGGTGGTATTAAAAAAACCCAGCAGCCTCAAATAAAAAAATTGTTTTCACTGGATCATGCAGTTGTTTTTAAAAATAGTAATTTGCTTTAATTCAATTTCTACACTTTCATAGCAATTGAAGATTATCACCACATTTAATACAATGATTCTTCTATTAAAAATACTTATCGTAATGCTAATATCCTCAGCATGAAATACAAGAGAGGCCATGACATAAAAGTTACAGCTATTTTAAGTAGCCAAAGATTTATTTTTCATTTAAGCAGTTACTTTTGCAAATGAGAAAAATATACTTTGTTGATGAAAGGTTACTTTAACTTCAAACATATTATAACCCCGACATACAAATGTGCATTTTAGAGGGCTGAAGTGATTTATTTGTTTGTTTTAAATCTTACACTCTGTTTTTCTTTGGGCAATTTAACAAAATGTCTAGCTTCAGATATCACATGTTGTAATCAAATCAGCTAGAAACCCGAACATAATTAAGAAATAGTTTAGTAACTATTTGTCTTAGACTACTGTGAATGATCAGTAAATTGCTCAGCATCGAATTGTAAGAAAAAAAATGAGTACAGGAAGCATCTATGAAACAATCTGAAATCTGGATCACATTTTCATTAAAAATAAATCTCCAAATAACATTCCAAAGTAAATTGTAACTAATATCCCTAAGTAACTCTTTAAGAAGCTGTCAATTTGAGTGTTTCAGGCATAATAGGTATTAAAAACAAACAAACAAAAAAATTGCAGTTCAGAGTACACTGAATATATTAAGTCTGTCCTCTTCTCTTGGAGGTGATTATGCAACTGCTGACCTCAATTCACAATAAAAGTATTCTTTTCCATTTTGTGTTCTAGTCCCTGAAACAGCCACACAACTTACTTGTCTGAGAATGCTATCTTAAAGACGGCAAATATTTCTATAAAAATTATCATGGACCCTATATTCTACCACAACAAAAGCAGACTGATTCACTATAATCTATTCCATATACAGTAAATTACAATATGCATATACTTTTAAAGAGAATATTATCATAATGCCATTTCTGTAACAATGACATGCTACATTTAAAGTACCTGCTATTTGTTGCTGAACGTTTTCAGAAATAACAAATCACAAACACTGGTACTAGGATGGTATTTAATGTACATGCATTCAGAAATACTCGGCATTCCATATACAACCAACGACTTCCAAATCAGATGAACTCACAAGTAATATTAAAATGTTAATTCCATCATGAAAATCCTACCAACTTACACTTTCCTATGAAGAAACATGATTCCTGTGTCTCATGGGGCCATGAGATTCATCTCAGACCTACGCATGTGAGGAAGAGAATGAGAATAAACTCATCCTGCCTTCACTCAGATTCGCCATTATCTATCCACTCTCACTATCCTGACAGTCAGTTGAATTTCCTTTCTTGTTCTAAGACCTTCACCACCACAGTCTAATCCTGCCATTCTCATGAGCTCTTTGCTGACCTGATCCTCATATTCTTTTAATGTCTTCAATCCTCCTGGTTTTCCTTACCATACTCTCTGACTCTTCCCTCCCTTGACTATTTCTATTGGCATCCCTCAATCCTTGTCATTCCCACCCATCATCCTCTCCTGTTTTCTGAGAAGATGAACTCATTTCCACTTCACAGGGAAGACAGAGATGTGGTATTTTTGCTTGAAGCATCTTCATTTGGACCACCTACATATATTAAAGGAAAATGGGGACCATTTTGGTCAGATCAGACTATAGTTTTAATTTTACTTACAGTGACAGAATGTGGCAGCTAATCTTGTTCCATAAAGCTTTAAAATTTGAACAAAATCCACTAAATTTCCTAACAAAAAGCTTAAGGAAAAATTTCAGATTCTTCAAAGTGCCTACAGAGAGAACAAATTATGTCCTATCCTCTAAAAATAATTACAGATTAATCTGTTCATCCACTTTAATTAGTGGCCCAACAGCACTGTATTAAATTTTTAAGGGAGGTGGCCAAGGTACAATATTTGACGACCACTCTGATTCAACCTACATATATTACTTAAATACAGTAATAATGATCGACTGTAGGCCATTTATATTAAAGTGTTGTCACAAACTGTAGATTCAAAAATTTATCTGAATACTGAACCAAACCAACTGAAGCTATTAATGAAATATATTCAAAAACGGAAGAAAAAAGGGAATGAGAATCTAAACAGGAGTCACCAGACTTACTGTCTGGTGAGTTAGACATAACATCCTATACCTCTTAATGTATATTACACTATTATGCTGTGGACAGTCCAGGAGACTCATGGAGTTCATCGGGATAACTTCTTAAGCCAGCTAATATACCACCCTACCAGAGGGGATGCGATACTGGAACTGTTCATCACCAACACAAGTGAGAGAGTTGGTGATGTCAAGACTGTAGGCAACCTGAGCTGCAGTGATCATTCACTGGTGGAGTTACCAGTCCTGAGGGATATGGGTCAGATTAAGAGTAAAGTTAAGACCCTGAATTTTAGGAAAGCAAACTTTCAGCTGATCAAGGAGTTAGTCAATAACACCCAGGGAAACTGCTCTCAGGGACAAGGGAGCAGAACAGAGCTGACAGATCTTTAAGAATGCCTTCCATACAGCTCAAGAGCTCTTGATCCCCAGGTGTAAGAAATCAGGAAAGGAAAGCAAGAGATTGGGCATGGATGGGTTGAGACCTGCTGGTCAAACTAATGAGCAAGAAGGAAATGCAGGAGTAGTGGAAGCAGGGACAGGTATCCTGGGAAGACTATAAGGACATTGCCCAGTTGTGTAGGGATGGGGTCATGAAGGCCATGGCATGGCTGGAGCTGAAATTGGCAAGGGATGCAAAGAATAATAAGAGCTTCTACAGGTATGTCAGCCAGAAAAGGAAAGTTAAAGAAAGTCAGTCCCACTGATGAACAAGACTGGCAAACCAGTAAGAACAGATGAGGAAAAGGCTGAGGTACTCAACAGCTTCTTTGTCTCAGTCTTCAATGGCAACCTTGCTTCCCACACCCCTTGAGCGGATGCACCTCAAGACAGGGACTGCGGGAGCAAAGTTCCTCCCGCTGTAAGGGGACAACTTGAGGAACCTGAACATACAGAAGTCTATGGCACCTGATGAGATGCACCCCAGAGTCCTGATGGAATTGGCTGATGTAGTTGCCAAGCCACTCTCTGTGATATTTGAAAAGTCATGGTAGTCAGGTGAAATCCCGTGAGTGGAAAAAGGGAGAAATTGCACCCATTTTTAAAAAAGGTAGAAAGGAAGACCCTGGGAACCAGTGACCTGTCAGCTTTACCTGTGTGCCTGGGAAGATCATGGAACAGATCCTCCTAGAAGCTGTCCTAAGGCACACAGAGGACACGGAAGTAACACGAGGCAGCCAGCATGGCTTCACCAAGGGCAAGTCCTGCCTGACCAACCTAGTGGCCTTCTTTGGTGGAGTGACTACATCAGCGGACAAGGGAAGAGCTACAGCTGCTATCTATCTGGACTTGTGTGAGGCCTTTGACATGGTCCCCCACAGCATCCTCTCTCTAAATTGGAGAGAGATGGATTTGATGGAGATGGACTGTTCAGTGGATAAGGAACTGACTGGATGGTCACATCCAGAAGGCAGTGATCAACAAATCAATGTCCAGGTGGAGACCTGTGATGAGTGGTGTCCCTCAGAGGTCCATACTGGGACCAGTACTGTTTATTATCTTCATCAGTGACATAAACAGTGGGATCGAGTGCACCCTCAGCAAGTCTGCAGATGACACCAAGCTGAGAGGTGCGGCTGACATGCCTGAGGGACGGGATGCCATCCAGAGGAACCTGGACAAACTTGAGAAGTGGGCCAATGTGAACCTCAGAAGGTTCAACAAAGCCAGATGCAAGGTCCTGCAGCTGGGCTGGGGCAACCCCTGATATCAATACAGGCTGGGGGATGAAGGGATGAAAAGTAACCCTGAGGACAAGGACTTGGGCTACTGGTGGATAAAAAACTGGACATGAGCTGACTGTGCGCTCACAGCCCAGAATGACAACTGTATCCTGGGCTGCATCAAAAGAAGTGTGGCCAGCAGGTCAAGGGAGGTGGTTCTGCCCTTCTATTCTGCTCTGGTGAGACACCACCTGGAGTACTGCACCCAGCTCTGGGGCCCCCAACATAAGAAGGACATAGACCTGTTGGAGTGGGTCCAAAGGAGGGCCACAAAAATAATCAGAGGGATGGAACACCTCTCCTATGAAAAAAGGCTGAGAGAGAAGGCTCTGGGAAGACCTTATTGCAGCCTTTCAGTACTTAAAAGGGGCTTATAAGAAAGATGGGGACATAATTTTTAGTAGGGCCTGTTGCTACAGGACAGGGGGAGTAATGGTTTTAAACTATAAGAGGGTAGATTCAGACTAGATATAAGGAAGAAATTTTTTACAGTGGGAGTGGTGAAACACTGGAACAGGTTTCCAGAGAGATGGTAGATGCCCCATCCCTGGAAACATTCAAGTTCATGTTGGACAGGGTCTGAGCAACCTGATCTAGTTGAAGACATCCCTGCTCATTGCAAGAGGGGTGGACTAGATGACCTTTAAAGGTCACCTCAAACCCAAACCATTCTATGGTAACATAACTTTTAGCAAGAACATTCTTATTTGATAAAGAATGTTACAAGAGAATCACTCAAGTAATGGAAAATAACACTTGTTAAACTTGCTTTATTTCTTAGCAACAACCCTCAATAACAGAACACTGATTTATCACATCTTCTGTGTACTTGTAGTCTTCTGAAATTTACAGTAGAATAAATAGCAAAATACTTATAACACAAAATGTTAAGAAATTCTAAATTTAGAACATTTCTAAATTTCTAAGTTCCATTTAATGGTATAAGAATTGCTTCTCTGAAACAAAGGATGATAATGCACCAGTATTCTGCGGTTATGTGCAGAATAAGCTAATCAGCTCATTCAAATTGTCTAAACAAGTTTAGCAACTGGCTCATTACAAAATGTATGAAAATTGCAAAGCATATGAGTTATATCAAATTCCAGTGCCCAAGATACTTGGATTTACTTTCAAAATTCAGAAACATTATGAATGTACATAGAACGCAAGTGTTTTCAAGATGTATTGAAGAACTCAAACTATTTAACTAGCTGAGAAACACACTAGAATTAAAAGATAGTTTAAGTATATAAATAGCAGGAAGCATCAACATAATTACTCATCTACAATAACTTTACTGAAAGTTCAATCCCCCAAATAGAATTATGTGATAAAAGACAGCACAATGACAGGCACCTGAGACAGCTGAGGACTCAAACTCTATGACATGGAAGGGACATCTAAATACTGTAGATATAGATATATTTTCTCTGGCTACTTATGAATTTTTAAATTACACTCTGACTTCAAGAACAAAGTTGTAAAGAATTTTTCATTACAGAACACAAACCCACAAATTAATATATTCTGTAAAAAAAACTGTGATCTTAATTTAACTAAGCAATTGCCTTAAAGGAAAAGAGCCATGGACTGTTCTCTCAAGTTATCTCAACGTTCTCACTTTGAGAAGCTCATCTCATGAGCTGAAAAGTGACGATTTGAATTTAACAAGCACAACAGGCTGACAAACTAAGATTACATCTAACAATGTTTCTCAGTGTATCAGGCTCTTTCCCGCTCCTGCTGACCTTGCAACACATGGTTCAGAGACTACTGGATTAGAGCTGATAACAAGTGACAGGTGCAGCCAATTAACCAAAGCAATGACGTAACTGTGACTTCCAATCTTGAAACATGAGGCTAGTTCAGCAAATGATGCTTTTTCATCAATGAGCTCAGTATGGCTGCTTATCAGGCAAACTTAAGAGTTTAACTTCAAAAGGTCTGTACTGCTGATACCCTTCTCATTAAAAAGTGATTTTGCTGTGAAGTTATCCAACTGTGACTATGGTATGCTTTGCTGTTCTCCAACTTGGGAAGCTGTCAAACAATGTGCATTAATCTTTTTACTGAGAGGATCACAAATTTTTAAGTACACAATGATTCAAAATGAGAATTAATTAAAACAGCAATAAGAATTGTGTGTCAGTTTAAATCTCTCAAAAAAGGATACAAGAAACCAAGCAGTTGTAATATAGCCAAGCAATAAGTGTGAACAAAATATTTTGATATAGCAATTATGAATATATTGTTTCTTCAACTTCCATTCTTCATGATGCTCCAAAACATTTTTAGAAATAGTTCAAAACTAAATCAATCCATAATCTCAACAGTGCTTTTCTAATGTTAGTTACCACATAATCTATACTGATTAAAATTTTCCTGGGTTTCTCTTTTCTGTTAGAATTTGAGGAAGAATGTGTAGGAAAGCATTAAATGTCTGCTCACCTGAGGAGGTATTCCATTATCAAACTGGCCTGTCCAGATCTTTACTGTTCCACATTCTAACCTCTGTCTTAAGTCTTTTTAATGGACAAGTATATACTAAACTGTAACTTCTTTGAGACTGATACTTATCTTATTTATCCATTATTTTTCACATTAAAAAAAAAAAGAATATTGCCATATAAAGTGCCTAGGTAGCAGCTACCAGAATTTCTGGACCAGGTACAACCCTGCAGGTTAACTGTAGACTACAAATGCATCACTATCACACATCTAACAAACTGCATACTAAAAAAGCAAGTAGTTCCATAAACTACGTATAATAATAAGACCTCATACCAGTCAATGGATGTCAACTTGGAACAACCAAGTGGTACAATCAGTTCAGTAAAGAGAGATAGTGTTTTGGGATCTCCCTCAAATTCACAGTAGCGGCAAGTGGAGGTATGTACCCTTCGTGTCCAGGCTTAGGAAAAGACCTGCCACAAAACCCACCCCTTTGTATCACACAGATGCAACGGAAGACCATACAAACACTCAACAGTGAGTGAGCTGGGGGCATCATATGGCTTACGAGTCCAGCCCAGCAACAGCCACTGTTGACCCAAGAACCATATGAATCCAGCAACAGATTACAAAGCATCTAGCCAGATATACATGTGTGAAGACAGCAGGCTGACAAGCCTCACCTGTAATAGTCATCTCCAGAGGCAGAAGAAGTCTGAAAAGGGAAAAGAATGCTTTAACAAGACATAAAACCAGACACAAACTCTAACACTAATTGGCGCTTTCTCAGACCAGGTCTATCATCCCTCCCTTGTGCTCCAAGCACACAAACTTGGTACAAAGACAGCTAACTTCATGGTTACCAACTAAGGTACAACATGATCTACCAGTCTAACTCAGAATCAGATATACTGGACTTAAGATGGTTCCCAATGAGAGACTTGCGTATCTTGGTATTATATAACCCAGTGTTCTGGGAGGGCTTGTCATGGTTTTTGTTTGTGAGGTTTTTTTGTTTTGTTTTGTTGTTTTGCCTTTTTTTTTTTGGCATAGTAGCATGCTACGTTATTATCTTCTGTCCATTTTCATGATCTCTATCTATCTGATGCTTCAAAGCAACTCCTCTATTTTACTGGAAATTGAAGAGGCAGTGTCACTAATTTTCTGAGCTCTGGGACTTGAGAAGACTAGAAAACATACCATAAGGAAAGAAGCTAATGATAAGAGGCAAATGAAAACTCACAGGCTAGATCCAGATCTGAAATTCTGTACTTTGTACTGCTATTCCTACTGTAACTAATAGTACCATCTGTTTTACCACAGTTCTTACTTCATTTGAGGTGCTCTAATATTCTAGTATTCCTGAGAGTAACAATTTGACTGGATAGCCATCCTGTAGCATTAGTCCAGTCCTTTAAAGTCAGTCTCTACAAAATGCTACCCTCTATAGAAGATGGCAATACCTGGTCTAGTTATTAGTAAAGGTAGCTTGGGACAAAGACCATTTTATCATGGTATTCTCCAGAAAAACAAGAAGAAACTACATGAATTCACCAAATCAGTTTTCTGACAGGTGTTCATTCACAGAGATCTATTTTCAACTTTTAACATACTAGAACACAAAAGAAACAGTATTTTTCTAATATTTTTTTTAAAAAAGATGACCTAAACATATGATATTTGGCCTTAATTTTATCATCATCTTTAATTTTATATTCAAGGTCCAGGGAAATAAAAAGAATAAACAGCTGTACAGAGAAAAGAGTGAAGCTGGTTATTTGTAATTTGCTGCCAAATGCCTGAATAAAAAAATGTTACCAAACAGGACTTTTTTTTTTTTTTTTCTTAACTTGATCTCAGATATTATTTTAACATGCTAAAAATACTTTTAAATAGAAAATTGATCATTAAAAAAATCACTGTCCTTTTGTTTATGACAACAGATACAGCTACAGTTATGCAGACGTACATCTTTGAGCACATATAGAAAAAAACTACATTTCTGAAACACAGAAAAGAACTAACAATGTAGGAAAAAAATGATTCAATAGCTCTTTCCATTCTCTGGGAAATCCAGATAAGATGTCTGAAGATGATTTATTTTTCTGTCTCCCTGAGTTACTCCAAAATACAAAGAACATCTATTAGAAATTAAGCAGTACAAAAAAAAAAGCAACAGGGCCATGCAATTTGCATCCGAGTGCTTTTAAAACTATGTTTAAAGAGAATTCTGAGCCATAGGACATGTTGGTTCTGAATATTACAGGAAAGAAATTCTAGAGAGGTAGGGGTAAGGAAGAAGCAGGGGAAACCATGATGTTGTATTACTATTTATAAAGAGAAATATAACTCAAATAATTATAAGCTTGACATTAATAAACTATTCTTGAGCAAAAAATAACAGAATCATTAACTTAGAACCATGAAAAAATTACTTTATTTCTACTACTTGTGGACATAGAGAGAGATTGTCAAAATACCTTGTATGAGGGAAGGAAACAGAGCATAATTTCTGATCAAGTTCATACATGACAAAGACTAGGGAAACAGTAAAATGCCACAAAAGAAAGGTTAACATTTAATCTACTTAATTTATCAAACGAAGTTCAGGGGTGATTTGGTCACAATTTAAAAATGAAGATGAATGCACCAAGAGAAGGCCAGCAGACCAGTGAAAAAGAATCTAACAGCTCTAAGATGAGACAAAAAGGCAGAATAATAAGAAGCAGCACCATCTTTATTTTTTTTAACAAGAAAGACACTTACCAAAGAAAATTTTAGCAAAGTATATTTCAGCATAAATTTCTACATTAAAATGGGACTTTTTTCCACCAGAAGATGAGTGGGACAAAAGAATTTAAGAGAGCCTTGTGTTCTCTATTAACTAAAACACTGTATTAAATGATCATAGCAGTCTTTTCTGCTGTATCCTCTCAAAGTCCAGGCTTTTTGGATGTTTTCCATTTTCATTAGATAAACAGCTTCTTCTCATTAGAAGCATATATACCCTTATAAGGACTCAAGTTGGATTTTCTTTATTCCTGCTCACACAAATCCTATTCAGAATCTTGATGAATACATATTGGATCTTTTTGCAGAAATAATCAATGCAAATGTTTGTGATGGTAATTTTTAGGAAACACATTTCTGATAAAACATTTAAACTAGTTTCCTAATAATTATAAGCATGAAAAACTACTATGTTGTCCACTGCTAAATGTACTTCAAAGTAAAGATATTATTATTACTAGTTCTTAACTACATATATGAGGGTTTAAATTGTTCATGTGAAAAGAAAAACACCGTGTCATATAACCCCACTCACCTTTTATAAAAACAAACAAACAAAAAACCCCAAACAAAACTAAATTCTGTAACTTGAATCTCTTTTTGAGGGATTTTGAAGAAGCAGCACAGAAATATTTAACATGATTGGGAAAAAATCTATCAACCAGTAAGAAAACATCAACCAAACATGGACTGAAATTGTAGCTGTTACAATTTACAACAAAAATTACATGGTTTATGGGAGAAACAGAATACACACATTGCTTCAACTTCCATAGAATCTGTTATATAATTTCAAGTAAAAGCACAACTATAGGCTTCTCTTTCTGAGAGTTCACAAATGTGAGGAAACACTGAACAGTACTATTATCATGCAAGAAATCTGAAAGAACAACTAAAGCACTTTTGCAAGACTGGATTTGTAAAGTTCACTGCAGAACTTTGTCCAGGAATGATAACCTGTAAACATGGTTCACCATGATCCATTCAGGAATACTTGAGATGGTGATAAAGATTATGACCAAAAGAACAGTGGTTGTTTTGTTTTTGTTTTTTTTTTTTTTTTTTAATATTAACCATTGAGAATATTTAAAAATTTCTTCAAATATTCTATGCCCACATTCAGAAGAAATAAGAGAAAAATAAAAAACTAAGAAGGTAAATTATCTGGATACAAATGTATTCATGAGAATGAAACTTATTTTTATGTCAGAAATTAAATTATTATTGTACTTAAGGAGTAAATACTCTGCACTAAAATTCAACTCTAATTTAATAACAGACTGTCAGCAGCAATCGGCCCCTCCAGATAATGTAAGCTGCTGTGAGGTACAGCTAGCAAAAAAAAACAAACCTGAAAATGAAAAATTTACAAAGGAAATGGGAATGTAAAGTGATCTTCAGAAGGCCCAATGGTTAAAGCTAAGTGACAGTGGAATGAAAACAGAGTAGAAGCCTAACAACAATAGGGAAAGTACTAAAAATTAGTTGATTAAAATTCAGCTAGTGGCAAAGAATCAGAAAAATACATTACTGTGCATATACAGCAGTAAAGAAAATGTCAGCCTGGAAAAGGTGCTGTACAGTGGCTTACTTTGGAAAGGCTGCTTATATACCTGTGGAATAAGAACACAGGAAAGGAGAAGAGTGCTTTCAGCAAAAAACTCCAAACCAACAAACATAAAAGATCCAAAAGAAAAAGTCCCTATAGTGCATAGCTCTCAGAGAAAGACAGCTGAGATTCCCTGTTGGCTAAAGTGGAATAAAAAAGAAATGTTGAGTACCAGCGTTGATTTATATAGGAATTTACATCAAGCTCATCACTAAGCTAACACTATAATGTTCATGATGCTTTGACTAGAAGTTCAATATTTCAGGCTGAAGAGAAGAAGTTAGAAAGGCAAAAATTTTTTAAGATTCTTCCCCGAAAAACATGATGGAAAATCTATTATTCCACTGGACAGCAAAAAAGATAGGTGGACTTGCAGAGAACTCAGTGAAGACCATACTCAAAAAGTTACCAGCATATTAAGCATTATAAAACAGATGGAGAATAATATGAAATATGGCTTACCTAAAACAGGGTAGTAGCTACAATCTTGGAGGTAAAAAAAAAAAAAAAAAAAGTAGTAATAAATTTAGTAAGTTTTCTTTACCATCTGAAAGATATCCAAATCAAATCTACTCAGCTGACAAAGTTTGTAATTTATTTTGTTTTATTATTACCAAACTACCATTATTAACTACTAACTATCAAAAACTTAACTTTTTAGGCAAGAATCAAATTTCACTTCTTTTTATTCAAGAAACATTATTAATTATAAATATTCCACACCCAGAACCTGATAACCAACATGACTTGTCCTACGCTGTAATAAAAGTAACTATTACTTACTTGGCTTTCTAGTAAGGCATGTAAAATAATAAAAATAGTGAAGTATACTATGATATGACTGTTTAGAGACAAACAGCAGATATGATGAATAAAGAAAATGTTTGAACATACTGTTGTCATCTTTTACTGCAGTACCACTTTAAAGTGTACTGCTTATATTTACAAAAAGTGTATTCTATAATAGAAACGAAAACCTCACAATGTCACTTCCCATGCTACTCAACTCTGTTGAAACAAAGAAAGGAAACAGCATGAACATTTAGCAATCAAAAAGTACATGGCTATACCACTGTTAAATCCATCTTACCATGTTATAAAAAAAAAAAACACCACCAAAAAAAAAAAAAAATCACATTTGCAGCTAAACAACTGAGAATACTCCAGACCTTTGAAATGATCTCTTGCTCACAATACAGTGCTAACAATTCACTGTATAAGAACGATTACACATTCTCACCTTCCATCATGCTAACTGCATTTTCACGGGTCATCTACTCATCCTTTTTTACAGGTGACTAGACAAACGCACACACAAACTTCACA